CAAGAATCCCACACCCATACATGGCGTCGTAAACGCGGCACCCAATTGAATGCGCCGTAGCTCATCCCCTTCTTCTGTTTTGACCTTTTTCGTTGACACAAAAGCAAGCACACCACCCTCAATCCCAATTCCATCATTCTCTTCGCTAGCTCTAAAAAACGTCTTGCGTAAGCCTCGCTCTAAATCCGCAGATCTTGTCAGCCTCTCGGTTAACTTTCCTACAAAATTACTTCAGATAAAATGCTCTCCTCGACCCGTGCATGCTATTGCGAATGCATTCTTCACATCGCATTGGGCACCTCGTTTTCGTTTTTGAGATCTATTCACACTCTTTCTGCCATTCGAGGTATCACAACCCATTCGCGGACACCCTGCAAGTCCTAATCGACCAGGCACTTTGTAGGCCACGCCACCACTAGATAAGGCAGCAGCTACATTCCCTTTTGGATCCACGCATATAGCTCCAACGGTGTCTAATCGCATCTCTTTTCCGTTACACTCCATTTTCTCCTGCAATCGTCGATGCCATTTTGTCCAGAATTCATATGTCTTCTCTGTTACTTGGTATCTCTCCAGCTCTTTAGTGTCTTCAGGTGCTGTCTCCAAATTAAACTCGCGCGCTAATTGTCGTGTATGCTTTCCAACTACAACAACTGGAGGCTGTCTACCAAACACAAACTTAGAGTTCAATTCGTCCTGTTTGAGCTGCTCCAAAAGCCTTAATGCCAATGCACTGGGTTCCTTGACCCCTCGCACAGCTCCACAGCAACTAACTAGGTGTGTTTGACCACAAACCACGCTGGCCTCGCATTCCACTTGTCCTTTTTCCATAAAAGCAGTTCAATTTATTGAAACTGAGCTTGTGTAAAGTTCTAGGATATGGAAATCAGCTTGGCGTACGTGGGACAACCTGTAAACGTTTCATCTGTGCGTTGATGAACGCGGACTCTGAGAGTACAAGTTTTCTCATTGCAAGACGCGCGTTGCGTACTACATCGTTGTCAATACAGTGACAGTTGCGACTTTGACAATACAACGTAAGATAAATAAATTCTGCCAACGAATCCTCAGTAAGTCAACATACCCTGCTCATTACGCTATATGTCTCACGCGTCCAAGAAAATGCGGTTGGTTGTTAGCTGTTCACTGTGGAGCCGGGCATTATGGTACCTCTAACGAAGCAGCATACATCTCACTGCTTCAGTCGACCCTCCAGACCACTCACCGTTTAATCGATTGCTCCACTTTTCCTCCTACAGCTACGCAAATAGCTGTGCAATTGCTGCACACATTCGAGCACAGCACACTCACAAATGCTGGATTGGGCTCCAATTTGACGTCATGGCAATAGGTGATGGAATGCTTTCAAAATTGTGTTCTACACATCAATCGACAATCTTTTCGTCAATGGGTCTCACAATGTCCAGCGAGCGTCGCCCAGTCTTCTATTTCATCGGTGACTCAATAACGGAGCATGGCAGCGATCCAAGTAGGAACGGATTCATCACAATCTTGCAAAATCACTATGTCCGCTCCGTCGACTGTGTCAACCGCGGCCTTTCTGGCTACAACTCTAAGTAAGTGTCGTATTCTATTCATCATCTTCATTATGATACGTAATGTTTTATTTACTTTAACAGATGGGTACTAGAGCACGGAATGCCCATTTTTGCCGGGGAGCTGCAGATCGAGTACTCAGCATCCTTTGTCACAGTCTTTCTAGGAGCAAACGATGCTGTGCTTGAGCACGGACCTGACAAGGCCCAGTACGTATCGTTGCAAGATTACCGGTCAAATTTGAGAAAGATCTTACACACGGTAAAGCCGCTATTAGCCCCTAATGGCCAAGTTCTTTTGATCACTCCTCCGTGCATTATTGATTCGGCGCGTCGTAACGACCGCAGCGATGCGTCGGCTGGCAAGTACGCCAAAGTTTGTGTTGATTTGGCTGCAGCAGAAAATGTTCACGTTTTGGATTTGCATACATACTTTAACACAACTTTCCCGGACGAAAGCGTTCGCAAAACTTTCTTTATTGACGGTTTGCATTTTTCCGAAAAGGGAAATAAAGAAGTTGGCAAGCTTCTGGGAGTTGTCATCAACGGTATGTTCGGCAAGGAAATGCTTGACAAGTTTAACAAGTGGCAGCTTCCTGACTGGCACGACTTCGTTCCTCACGATAATTGAGCGTAAGTGATGGAGTGTAGCTTTGTCAGTTAATGATATTATCATCTCTAGCTGATTTTCAGAAGGCAAAACTTTTGAAATAAAAAAATGCTGGCCACAGTTCGGAAAATTATTAAAGCTCCAGACAACTGATTCGATTTCATAGCTCAATTCTATATCATCGTGGCTAAAATATCATTACATGTAAAGCTACGGTCTCATCAATCGAATTGGGCTGAGATTGCCAATTTATCGAAAGCAGCACATTCATTAATTCGAATTCACGACATTGTGACTGATAGTGTGTTTGCAAACTGTGCTTGCTGGATCGCCTATATCAGCGTCTAAATATTCCAGAAGCGGTCCAGCATAGTCAACGCCACTTTAAAAACATGCTTCTCTGAAGCAGCAGCATCATTTTCCGCATGCGACTCCTACGATCGGAATATCAATTTCTGAAATTAGTGGATCCGTGACTACGTTTGAGTACCGTCCAGCTCCCAATTCCCAATAAAAACCGTTCAAAGGTTGTGGAAGGCAGCAAAGCGACGGCTTGCATAGCTGTCGAAGAGTACCGCATACGTGCCAGATTCTTGCACTTTCAAATTTAGTCCGACCATTTCACATCGCCAGCCTTTCCTATAGGCTGTGCTTTCTTCAATCAGGCATGAACATCTCGCCATTGCAGAGCATTAGAAAAGAACTATCCTGATCATGACTAGGAGCTACTTGCGATTAATCAAGCCTTCGGTGCAGGCTTGAACTATGTGCTCCGATAAACGGCACCTGAGTGCCCAAATATTCTCATTCCAATACTTTCAGCAACGAGACACATGTCGCGTCTGACGCGTACATTGTGTCTTGATAATTGGACGTCACCGTGATGGAACGCGACAACTCATAGTTAGGGCCGATGCGAAAGCGCTTTTAAGCCGACCCATGATATCTTGGAAAAAGGAAGGTCATCTTTACATATCGCAAGAATAAGTTTTTCTGACAACTTAGGATTAGTATAGGTCAGAAACGGCTAGGCGTCAAGCCTGTGACGGGTCACACGGCACCTTGCACAGAGGAAGCTTGACTTCCAAGAGTATAC